CAGCACCATCTCTCTGCCTTGTGCCCTATCCACTTCTATTTTTTTTCTTCTAATTCTACCTGTTGTGTTTCGATAAGGGAAAAAATGTAATTCTTGCAGCATGCTGTGAAAGCTTGTGGATGTGGATGGTGCTGATAAAGTCCTTTAGATGTGAGGCTGTAAAAGGTTGCTGTCCTCTATGTTTATTGCACCCCAGAGCATCATTCCAGCAGAGGTATCTCCTTAACTGCTATCAATGGGGTTAACCTTATATAAATACAAGACTCTTAAATAGAATCTTTACAACACTTTGTAATGAGATGTGAAGTGACCAAGACAATCTTTTGTACCACACCAAAGCTCACTGGTTGTCTCGTGGCAAAGTGCTTAAAAAAAATAAATCTGTCAAACTTAAAGATGAGTTGTGCCTTTTTGTTTTCACAAAAAGTCAATTGTTCTGAATTTGCTGGCCTTTTCTGTGATGACAGGTGGCTGTCAGTAGCATGCCGCCTAGCAGGTATTTTTGAAAAAATAAACACATAAATATATTATGAATACATTGTAAAGCGGTGTGTATATGTAACTATATACGTATGCTGGGTGTGCATGCTCTTTGCATTTGGCACAGAGTGAGAATGTGCACACAACCAGTTTCCTTGCAGCAGGTACCATGCAGTATATTCGCACCTGGCTTGCCTCAAGGGAAATGACTTATCTTCTGTAGGTAGAGTAAAACTGTTGCATGCGCTTGGCTTAGCAGCGTGACCTGTCTGTGTGGCACAGGAGCATAGGTGCTGTAACCTTGCTTTGCAGACTGGGACTGATGCTGTTGGCAAGGCTGTATGTTCCACCCTACACTGTCTTTTGCTTCAAGTTGCCATAGCTGTGCTCAACATGAGTGTAGCACTGGGGGACAAAACAAGAGATAGACTTCACAATCTGTATGCTCTTGTGGTTTTTTTTAATTCCTTTCTTAGATTGCCTTCCAGGTAGCTCTCATGCTCCTGGGCTGTAGGGCTTTAGCAGCTACAGGGTAATGCTGTTGGTGAAAGTAGCATGCTGCTGCTGACCCTGACCTCTTACACCTGTGAACCCACCATTCTCCAGTTTTATAAATTCATCCAAATACAGGAGGACAGAAGTCTGTGTGAAAAAGAAAATGAAAAGAACCAGTGAGTGGATTGATATATTTCTCCTACTCAGAAGAAGGAATGCTGATATTTGGTGAATTAGTTAATGAACTGGAAGAAAAGAAGGAAGCCACCTTAGCTGCCTCTTCTTCCTAGCAGTTGTGGAGTTCCATCTATGTACTGCAGCTTTCAAGACCAGGCAGGGTAACACCCTGAGCAGATCCTGCTTTTAGCAGATAGTTGGACCATGATCCTCCTGGGGTCACTTCCAACACGAATTTGTCTCATTTATGTTGCTGAGAATCTGATACCCCATGTCCATGTGCACATGTATGTTTCAATTCTGGTGATAACCTCACCTCAGAGCATTGGTGCTACATGATACATTGCCTTCTCTTGGCAAGGGCTGAATTTCCTCTTTCAGTTTCCATAAATGAGAGCAGTGCACTTCAGCTCTAGGAAGAAATTAGTTCAGTGAAACCTCTTACAAATCTTGCGGGTTTGGTTTTTTCTGGTATAAATGCAGATTAGCTTTAGAAGGGAAGAAGAAGTGGCAAAGATTATAGGGAGATCCAGAGCCAGAAATTAATCTCTGGGAGAACTAGAGGAGGTGAATGGAAGCCTTATCTTTATGCAGGAAAGAAAAGCAGTGTTTCTATACATAGAAAGTTACTGCCTCTGAAGTGAGTGGAGAGTTTGTTCTTTTAAAAAGGATAATCTGGAAGCATATCTCTCTTTAAATCTTGAGCTTGGGCCATATTAGAAATCTGTATCTTCACTATATAAAACATTCTTATAGTATGTATGTATATAGTTAAATTTGGGCACCTGATTCTTATGAGAATCTTAGCATAGATAACTTACAAGTGGGTATTATCTTACTATAACTGGTCTGAAAAATACCCAAGTCTCTTTACCATAACCAGCTACTAAGAAAGCATATGGGTTTATGCTTTACTCAGAAGCTAATTCTGTCTTAGCAAGTACTACATTTTTCTTGCTAAATCCAGTGTTAAAAGTAGGATGCACTTTGATGGCTTTCTGACACTTTTTGGAAACTGAGTTAAATTTAAAATGTATGTTGTGCTGCAAAGCTTTTTCTGTGCTGATAACTGAGGGATGGAGAAGTTAGTGAAACTTGTGCTCTCAAGGCTTGTGAACAGTCTTCTCCAACTGCACCTTGAGCAAATCTGTAATTGTTGGGACTTTGTACTGTAAGAACTGGATTGGTGGCCGCAAGAGTAGGGAACTTTGTTGTTATTCTGTTCTTCATGTTGTTACTGTCTACTTTGAAGTCTTCTTGCTCTAACTTTTCATTGCATTTCTGTGATAGAGAAGAATAGTCTCGTTCAGATTCTGTGGAAGATTATATACCCTGATGACATCAGGTCAGTGCATGTGGTATTAGCAGAAAGAACCATGACTCATGTGGTCCATAATGAACCACGTCATGTGGGCCATGTTTCCTTCTTGCCCTTTACACATAGAAAAATGTGTGTGATGTAGCATCGTATCTCTTCTAATACACTGTATATTGCTCTGTACTTATGGTGGCAAATAACCTTTATGGAGATGTTTGTTCCGCTGTCTCTCTGATAAGCCCCAGCTCTGTTTTTCTGACTGCATGGATGGGCATGTTTGTTGTCAGTACTTGGTGCTGTCAAAGGCTGCTTGCTTTCCTCCCACACATCAGAGCTTAGAGATAGTAGCTCCTTGCAGTGGGCTGTAGCATGTATGTAAATGGCTTTTTATCAGCCTGTTCTCTGTGTAACATCTCCCACAATAACCACCCCCACGCAGACTGTGCTAGGATGGCTTTTGCAGTTTGCTTAAATGCTTACATGTGTATGAATGTCAGTGGATAGTACTGGATTTCTTTCAGGGCCTCCAGCCCCACTTTGTGCTTAAGGGGACGGTAACTCCGAAATGCAACACTTCTTAAAATTTATTTTCAATTAAGGGGAATGACTAGGAATTCAGAGGTAGATAAATCTGAGATGTATCTAAGAAGAATAGTTGTAGGCTGATTGTTCTAGCTTCAGCTCTGGATGGTTTCTTTTTCTGTATAGAGAATTAATATCCCCTTCATTACATAAGCAACAGAGGTAGGAAATAAAGTTTTGAATAATAGGAAACAACCTGTGATATAATGCTGCAGATAGAAGACAAAATCTCTTATGTGTTGGATGTTGTACAAGGTGTATGTCAGTAGAAAGGAAAGAACACAGAATGGGCATTTGTTAAAAGCAGCAAAATTATCATCGTCCCTGTTCCCCACACACTGTCAGTTTGAAGAAAATCCACCACCCCCCCCGACTCTACTCTTGTCAGGATTTTCAAAGGTGAAAGGTACTAATGTGTGTTCCTCCAGCATACAGGTCCTTGAAGGAATGTGCCATGCACTTCTGACCTGGGAGAGGGGAGAAGGAGTGGGGAGCCACCTCTTGAACTTGCATCAGTGGGGCATCTTCTCAAACTACTGAACTAACTGCTTGTGTCTGGCTCAAATGTACAACACAAGATAGGGAAACTCCTAGCAGGGTAACCAAGGAGACAAAACAGATGCGTTGAACATGAGAAGTAAGCAAAGCTAAGACTGCCTAGGAAGCTCGAACTCCAGCATGAGTGCTTGTACTGCATTGTGCATCATGGGGAAGCCTGGGTCACCATTGCTGCCTCATAGCGGTTTGTGGTCAGACTCCTGGAGAGCTCTGGTAAGGTGCTGTGCCTCTGGGGGTTGGGGGAAGCAGGAAAGTGTGGCTGGTACATGTGGTAGCTTTTCATGTGGAGCAGAATCCTTTGCTGTATGCTGTAGCAGTCTAAATAGCTTCCTTGGAGAGTCTGGTAAGACATCTGAGCTTTTTCATTACCTCTGTGGATCTGTGTCAGGAACATTAGGATTTTGTGTTGCATCTTATGCACTTTTCATTGGTATTAGGGAGTGTTGTTAAAATGTACTGGGAAGCATGTGCTGAACTTTTTACAACCTGTGTTGGGTTACTGGGCATAAGCGCAGTTGTGTTTGGTGTAAAAGATCTGAGTTTCCATGCAGTGGTGTATTGTAGAAATCCAGTGTGGCATAAGAACCTACGCTGATCAGAGTAAAATCAGTATGTGTGTGTGTATCCTCTCCAAATAGATTTAGAGCTATAAAGGCTGTCATAGTGTGATGCCAGACAAGGATCTGATAATAAAAGATTTTAATGTAGGGACAATAGCTATAGGTCTTTGATAACATGCTCTTTGTTTGTAACACCATCCGGCCCCACTTACAAAAAAGTTTCAGTAGTACAAAATCCAGGGTTTTTTCCTTTCTTTGGAAAAGAGGGTGATCTTGTGGTTAAGAGTCTTCTGTGTCTTGCCAAGAGCTTGCTGTGTGTCCATTTGCAATCTGCATGTGCTCAGATTTTCCAACTTCATTGTGGTGTCATTTTCCAGGGTTTGTTTTGTTTTTGTTTTTCCCTCAAAACTGCTTCTTATTGATGTCTTCTTGGAACAGTGGATGCTCAGAAAAATCTCAATTGCAGTGCCACAGTGTTTCTGAAAGCAGTGCTTGCTTTGAAGCACCCAAAAAACTATAGCCATCTTTAAAAATACAGGCATTAATTTCTCTGCTTGCTCATCTCTACAAGAGGGATTGTGTGTCCTTCCATCATTAAGTGTTTGAAAGGCACTGTAGAAGCGCACAGTGGCACTGTGCATTAGAGCAGCACACAAATGCCTTGCACGTGTAGGAATTATATTTTCCTGGGGGTCTTTTCCTGAAAGTCGTTAAAACAGGGGGGAAACCCACCTATGGAAGAACTTTCCTGTCAGCTGGTAAATGAAGGAATAATATAGCCATGCTTCTGTTGGTGGGCTCCAGTTAAAGGAGGTGTTGCCATTTTGCAGGTTTGTCACTGGAGCGCTCAACCAACTCAATTGCCTCACGTGCTCGACTGTGTGAAAGAGAGGAGGAAGTCATGGCTTGTTTTCAGACAGCATGTGTCATTGCCCAAGTGTACTTGCAGGAGCTTGAAAAGGTAAGAAGAAACATGCTCAGGGTGTTACCCACTGGCCTGGGTGGAATTTCCAGGGTTTTGACAGTAAAAACGATGGGGAAACGCCAAGTGATCATAGACAGTAAGGAGTCTGAGAACAAGTTGGAAGGAGTGAGGTGTCTCAGTATAAGCAGTTGCAAAACAGCAGTTTGTCAGGTCTCTGTTTTCTCTAAGAATTAGGTCTGGAAACCAAGTTTTGCCTGTGGTAAAGCACTGAATACTTCAGATATATACTTCAGGTTGTATCTCAAGTTCAGCTTTTACTATAGAGGGAGTACAAACTTTGCACAACAAGTGCCAGCGTGAAGGAATCCAAGACAATTTACATACCTGCTGTGTAAATGATACACAGTAGTGGATATGGAGATCCCTAATGAGCTGAAATTAACCTTTCTGGGTCAGTCATAGCAGTTTAACTGTCAGTGCTTCACTTTCTGCAAGAGAAACTGGAGGAGCCTAGGTCTTTAGTAGCAAGTAGCTGCTTAGTCAGTGGTTGGCTTAGGCTGCTGAGTAAGAGGAGTACTGCGAGGCCTCCACTGAGTTGTAATGTGTGCCACTGATTTTCTGGGCACATGCTTAGTTGTCTCTATCTCTGTAATGTTGCCTAACTGAGTTTAACAGGGCACTCCATGCCCTTCAATGCCCTTCCTTTGCCATGCATTATGCTTGACACCAGCAGCACTGATGGCAATGAATGTTACCTGTTCTTCTGTAACTTAATGGTCTTTGACCTTCTGACCAGATATTTCTACTCTTAGCAGTAGCAAAATTGTGCATCTGTTCCAGGTTTTGCTCTTAATTGCATTAAAACAAGAAAAAATTAGCTTGGTACATATATAAAAAAAACCCCAAACATTAAGAAAGCCGCTACCAAGTTTTCTGGTCTGATTCTTTGTAGGAAAAAGGCAAATGGCTTTTTTTATTTAAAAGTAAGTTCTTGTCCTTTCCTTGTGGAAGGATAAGTTCCTGCCAGTACTGGGCTCTGTAAATGTTTTTACTCACAGCTTGTGTCTTTGAAGAAAGGAGAGTTTGAACTGTAATTCATTTATCTTCTGGTCACAGAGACAAGGGTGCAGGGTTACAGATAGATGTACTATAAGGTCAAAGGCCTTCTCCAGTCCTGGATGTAAACCCCTGCTTTGGAGAGTCAACACAGGGCAAATTTTAGCAATGAAAGCTGTTTGTTACCAGTAAGGAAGCAAAAGCAAGAAGAGTTTGATAGGAGAAACGGAAGAAAGGCTATGATTCTTCCATCAAGACTCCTAGTGTTTTACTGACTCTTAACGAGTATTTGTTATGTTCAACTTGACATACCTACTCAAGCATTGCATTAATATTTCTGTGCAAGATGTTGGATCTATGTGATTGGAGTAGTACTTCTGAAGCCTTTGCTATTAATGTGTAGCTTTCTACTTATTTTATTAAAGGTTGGAAGGCAATAAGGGACGGTGTATCAAAACTCACATTGCATGCAAAATATTTCATGGAAGTTACTATATTGTTTATTTAATAAAGTTGACTTTGAATGGGTTTTGTATAGCTAATGAAGGCAAGCTTTCAAGTAGCCTGAGGAGGAATCTTATGGCAGAAGCTAACATTTTTATTGTTAGAGATGTCTCTGGCTCATGAGGAACTGGCTAGTTCAAACAGCTGTCTGTAATCCCAGATATTTCTTTCTTTCCCTCACAGGCCTTAAACAACATGCATTCGAGGAGTATCAAGGGCAGCAATGTGACTTACTCAGAGTTTGAACTTTCCTACTTCCTGGAAGCAGCTCTACAGAGTGCCTATGTGATCCATTTAAAAAAGGGGTAGGTGGATACAGATGTTAATAAAAATGATGTTGCATGTTTTGTCTCGGAACAGAGGAAGGCTTTTTTCTTTGTATGTGTTCTGTTGTGACTTTTCTGCTGCTGGCTCACCTCAAGTCCCCTCAGTGTCCTTCCCTCCTTCCTATTTGTCTAACTCTGTCTCTCTTGAGAGTTCTAAGCCTCATTTTTCCAAACACACAAGTAAGGTGGAGTAGAACAGTTTTGTTGCCTTGACTCAGCTCTGTTCCCTGTGGAGATGCAAGGAGTCTGACTGTAAAAACAGTGTGGAATTTACACTTCTGTATGCCTTAAGGCACAGGGCCTATTTAGAGCTCAGTGAAGTCTTAAAGGTAGTTTCTTTCATTTATTTATTTGTGTGTTTATTTAAGGTCTTAAATGTCCTAATCAATACCCCCAATCTGCCTGGTTTCACTAGAGAGAATGCATGCGGGAACAGTGTTGCTCCAGGGTATTTAATATGCCTCTGAAATAGAGTTCCCAATGAACCTTGGAACAACAAGAGGACTTGCTATCTGCAAGCCTGCAGTGGATTTCACCTGAGGAAAACCTCAAGAAGAATAAAAAAGACTTTGTAAATGCCCACTTCCAAAGGCCATCAGTGAGGGCCCACTGTTCCCTAAAACAGACCTTGTCTTCAAAACATAAACAACTCTGTTTAGCTGATGGAGAGATTGCCATGTAGGAAGAGTGTCTTCACCATGTGTAAACACTACTTATAAGAATCTGTCCTTCCCTAGTTCTGTTCTTGCACTGTATTACCGTATTTGTTATCAAGGAATCAGATACTGAATTTCTCATTGCTCTGTGTAATATTGCTGGTCAAAATTTTAGAATTTTTCTTTAAGCAAACAATCTTTGAACATATTTAATTTTGGCTGGTTTTTTGCCTTCATCCCTAGTCAAAGGTATTTTGTTGTTTTCTTTACTTTTTCTTACTTTTTTTTCCTTGAGTAAAATAGAGAAGTGAAATATAAAGGGAGATTGAAAGGAAGAAAACTAGAAAAAAAAAATTCCAGCAAAAATCAGTTTAAATTCTTCTGTAGACAATTGATACCTTTTTTTTTTTTTAACTCTAGAGGAGGGGTAGCTTCTTGTTTAGGACTTTTTTTGCTAGTTTTTAGTCTCTGCCCTCTTCTACCTCCTGCCCCAGCTCATGTTAATGTGTGGTTTCTGCCACGAGAGGGCATAAGCAGCATTGAGATATATTATGGAAAGAGGAGGGAAGTAGGAAGAAGCTTTTTAGGATGCTTCATGTGTATAATAAATTTCTCCACCCAATACTGAACAGTTCAAAGATATGCTTGTTTTCTCCTTATTGCTTCCAGCGTTTTCAGGTAGGAAATAAGCATGGGGATGATGAATGCTCAGGCTGACAGGGGGGTAGGTCCTATCCGGTGAGATGTCCTTCCCCAGCCGCACATGTGTACAAAAGAAATCGTGAATGCTTTTTTCTTGTTTTGCCAGGCAGAAGAGTTGAGGGATGTGATGCTGTCGTGCTTTTGTTCCTCCTGGCGGCAACAGGCTTGCTCCGATCTGACCATGGTCAGGGATGCCCTTTTCTCTTGCTGTGTGCAGTGGAAAAAAGGCACCAGTGCAAAACAGAGGTCCAGTCTCCCTTTCAGATGTTGAGCTGCCAGCTGTAAGGACCAGCAACTTTTGCAGCTGTGGAAGTCCCAGATGCTTTTAATAAGATGTTTGTTTAAAATGTTGGATTGCTGAAGACATGTTTCCTGTAGTTGTTTGCCCCGCTGCATCCTAAGAAAGCTTTCTTTTATTCTTCCAGTGAGGAGTGTTGATGCTGTGCATGCAGAACATAGGCAGGCAGATGCTGTTGAACTGTAGGAGAAAGGCAGCCAGTTGTCCTTCATGTTAGCATCTGCATTGGGCTTGTTGTTTGTTCTTTGTTTTGGGTTTTTTTTTTGTTTTTCTGAGGTGGATATGTGAAGATTAGGCTAATTTCTGTGCCTTTCCTTTTGGAGTATTGAACAGGTATTACTAATTTATACTGTTACGGGAGCTTTGGTCACAATGCTCCTAGTATTTTCGTAGGGCAAACAGGTTTCACGTGTGGGATGTAATGGTTATATGTATGCTGCTCTCTTAGTGGTACTTGAGGTAGGTGTGGAGTTTCACAGGCAAGACAAATAAAGCTAGAGCTTTCTAGAGAATGTGGTTGATTTTTGGAAGCTCTAGATGTGACACTTTTGAAGAAAATTAACTTCTGAAGAATGTTAAGCACTTAATAGAAATTGGTTTTTCTTATGATACCTCAAGTTAGGATCTAAATTACTCTGGAAAACCCTGATGAAAATGCCTAGTAGGAAAAGCTTACACAATTCTGTATTTTACCTTTTCCTGTCAGTTTTCTAGAATGCTCCGGTCTCTTTTTGAAATTTTGTAGGCTTCTGTTGCAAGGGCACTTTGAAAGAGTACATTCATGTATGTGCTATTTTACAGTAGAATCTAATGTACAAAGGTAGGCAGGACCATCTTTGCCAGACTATTAATCTCTTCTGGGGAATTTATGTGGGCTTTCTTGTCACTTATCTCCAATTCTCCTGATCTAGCATCTTATCCAGGACACTGCATCTGGTAATCTAGGAGTGAGTCTTACTGCCTACTTGATGGATCTAATTAAGTGCTAAGTTTTTGCTTTATATTGTTTTGAGGTTGGTTTTGTTCTTATTTTTTTAGTGCTCTGCTTCTGTTAGGCTGCCATTGGGAAACTGGTGTGCTTTGATGTGGTTTCTTGCGTTACGGTCTATCTTCATTCACAGGAAATTGAGGATTATTTATTCAGGTGTGTTTTGTGCCTATGCATCAACAGCTGTTTTAAGGAAAGCATGTGAATTTTTAGCAACCTGGGTGAGATGCAAAGATGCAAAAGGTGCTGGGCAGAGGTAACAGTGTTACTGCTGTTTGTGTGCTTCGAGTACCACTTTTGCCTGGAGAAGTGGCTCTACAAGCTGCCATGTAGTGGCAAGATGGTCTTTTCCAGCTGTTAGTGGCTGCTTTAACAGTTAATGAGTGGGGATAAAAACATGATCTTCTGGTGCCCATGTTGTTGGAGGACTGTCTTTGCGGACCTCTGTGCCCATGGTTCACTCTGGTTCATTGTCTATATTTTTTCCAACAATTTGCATAGAAAGTGGTGTATTTTAAAATTCTATCCTAAGATTTTTGTGTAGTGTTTAACAAACAAAATTACATGAATGTGATAAGGCTCCTTTGATTCATGGACTGGTAATTAATTACCCTGTATTAACAGGGTACTTGTACAAACAAAACACTTCCATGCCAGGTTGGTTTGACTGGACTCAAGGTGCTCTTTGTCACATAGTTTGTGCTTATTATTTTCTGTGTTCCTTTTTATCAGATTAGCTATAATTGAATCCTAAACTGCATTTCTTTGTGTTTTTTTTAAAAAATGCCTCTCTTGCCACTTTTGTGGCTAAAACCAAGGCAGTTTAATGGCTGTGTGCTTTTCCCTTCCTATTCTCTTTCATTTTGTTTTCTGGCATCTTAGCAGTGAAATAGGGGCCCATGGACTCTTCCAGCCGATTTAATTTCCACGATCTGATGTTCATTTATGATACGATGTCTTGAGGCTACAGTACCTGAAATTTCCAGATAGTCTCCTATCCAAGTCCTGCAGAGGCTCAAGATTGCTTAGTTTCTGATCTAGACAAGATCAAATGGATTCACTATGAATTGCCAGAGGCTTTGTTTGCATCCTCATCCATCTGTCTACATACATGTATTTCTGTTCAAATACATACCCTTCTTTCTGTTAACTACTTCAGGTACTAATTTAAAAAAAAAAACCAAACCAAAACTCTTCAAGTGCACATATACTATGAAGGACGTCTGTTAATGGAACAGTAAGTTCCTTATCATAGAGTAGAGCAATTCATATGCTTAAGATGAAATGTGTGCTCAGATGGTGTCCTGGCTTGTAACACTAGAGTGGAAAGACAAACTCCTGTAGTGAGGTATGTTTGCAGACTGGCAAACATCTGCTGGCAGGTGTGCTCTGTCTCCTGTCACAGCTCACTAATGTTAGATAAAGTTCAAAATATAAAAGCTGCCAAACCAAGTCCTCAGTCTGGTTGAACTTGTAGTGTTGTCAGATGCTTTGCTGGGTGCTCCTCCTGTGCTGCCCACTTTGCACTCCTACCTTCTGTTGAAGGTATTTGTCATGTGGTTCATTGTTTCAACCCTGGCTACTTGTGGATGGGCAGCAATTTGCCATTTACTCTTTCATTCACTTCAGTGTGTTAATATTCCTTCCTTTTCGTCTTCTCTTGCCCCCAGAGTAAAGTGTTTCTGCCATAGAAGGGGATCTGAAATGGAGCTTCAGTTCTCTGGGAACAAAACTGTGTCTCTTTAGCGCATTCTCTAGATTTTTCACCTCTTAAGTATGTGCCAAATGTAGAATTAATTTGCTTTGCAAGTGGTCACTAATCTTCTTTCTGATGGTAGTTAATGGAATTCATTGACAGTTTATTAAGATAAATACCATCATCCTGAGGTGAATGGAACTAAATCCAGTTGGCACCAGTCACAAGTGGTGTTCCCCAGGGCTCAGTTTTGCGGCCAGTCCTGTTTAACATCTTTATCAATGATCTGGATGAGGGGATTGAGTGCTCCCTCAGCAAGTTTGCAGATGACACTAAGTTGGGAGGGAGTGTTGATCTGCCTGAGGGTAGGGAGGCTCTGCAGAGGGACCTGGATAGGCTGGATCAATGGGCTGAGGCCAACTGGATGAGCGTCAACAAGGCCAAGTGCCGGGTCCTGCACTTAGGTTGCAATAATCCCATGCAGCGTGACAGGCTTGGGGATGAGTGGCTGGAAAGCTTCCAGGCAGAAAAGGACCTGGGGGTGTTAGTGGACAGCAGGATGACCATGAGCCAGCAATGTGCCCTTGTGGCCAAGAAGGCCAATGGCATCCTGGGGTGTATCAGAAGGGGTGTTGTTAGTAGGTTGAGAGAGGTTCTCCTGGCGCTCTACTCTGCCCTGGTGAGACCACATTTGGAATATTGTTTTCAGTTCTGGGCCCCTCAGTTCAAGAAGGACAGGGAATTGCTTGAAAGAGTCCAGTGCAGAGCCACAAAGATGATGGAGGGAGTGAAGCATCTCCCTTATGAGGAGCGACTGAGGGAGCTGGGTCTCTTTAGCTTGGAGAAGAGGAGACTGAGGGGTGACCTCATTCATGTTCATAAATTTGTAAAGGGCGAGTGTCAGGAGGAAGGAGCCAGGCTCTTCTCAGAGACAGACAATGACAGGACAAGGGGCAATGGGTGCAAGCTGGAGCATAGGAGGTTCAATCTGAACATGAGGAAAAACTTTTTTACTGTAAGGGTGACAGAGCACTGGACCAGGCTGCCCAGAGAGGTTGTGGAGTCTCCTTCTCTGGGGACATTCAAAACCTGCCTGGATGCATTCCTGTGCAACCTAGTCTAGGTGATCCTGCTCTGGCAGGGGGGTTGGACTGGATGATCTTTCGAGGTCCTTTCCAAGTCCTAAGATTCTGTGATTCTAACAAGAAATCTAAACATATGCATTTTTGAAAGTGTTGAGGAACTGTTAAACACAGTAACTCTTCTGTCCAGCCTCTTAAGGAGCCCAAGGAAGCACAGGAAATTCCAGTAGTTTTCAGTAACGGAGAGTAGCAGTTGGGCATGTGCAATTTATTGATTTTAACTATCTGATAATAATTAGCATATGAACAATTCTGTTGGATTTGGTGTGACTACTCGTGTGCATAAATATCACCACATGCTTTATTGTTTTCCTTGAAGGTCCAGAACTGAATCTTTGTGTGTATATACTTTTATAGACCCACAGAAAAGCACCAGAAGTTTTGGCCCCTTAATTGAAGAGCTTGCTGAAGTGTTAAAACTCAACTTACAAAAACCCCTTGAGCTCTTGAAAAAGAAAAACAGACAGCATCTGACTTTCTCTACAGGGGCAAGTGTCCAGTGTTTTTGCTCTTGCCTCACCTTCTTGCTTGGCTGTAGATCACCTACAACTAGGTAATCCACAGATTACCTCAAAGTTTAAAATTTTGAGATTAGTATTAACTGGAAGTAAAGCCACCTGCATCTGCATTCTGTGACTTGGTGGCCATTTTAGGGTAGCATTTTATGTAGCCAGTATTCATGGTGAACATGATCACATTTTATCTGCCCTGTTCCACCCCCAAAAATACCCTCCAAACAATTACTCTTTGTTTTGTTTCTTCAGATGTTTGCCATTGATTCTGAAGTGCAAGAAATTTTTCAGTGCATGCAAGTGGGCACAAATGCAGTCTGTACTGCTTACCTTCAAAATTTAATCAGACTGACAGGAAAGGTTGTTGTGGTATATGGCTTTTTAAAATGAAATCTAGGCTTTGTCTGCACAGAAAATTCTTCTGGAATAAGCTGAAGTGGCAGTTAATGTACCAGTGCAACTACTTGTCCGTGTTTCAGTACAGCCTTGCTCCTTTTCTGATAGCTTGTAGTTTTTGGGGTAGCTTCCTCCCTGCAGTGAAAGTAAGCTGAACCATTTTGTAGTTACTGTGGTGGTAGGGCCATGTCCTACCTTGAAGAGCTTATAAACTGCAAATGTGTTAACTCGTAGGCCCAGTGTTTAATCTTTCCTCTCCACATCTCTCTTAGTGCTCAGACACATGATTAAGATGCCATTTGGCAATTAGTCTGCTTTAACTGCTTATGGTGTATGCAGAGTAATATGATTTTTTTTTCTTAACCCCCTTTTATTGCAGGTTAAGCTGTCCTTGCAGACTGTTACTGCAACTTAGCTGCCTGGTAATAAACTGTTTAAGTCACTAACTTCGTCATGTGTCTGGATCATCAGACACAAGGTGTTTAAGCACCACCTAAAAGGAATCGTCATTTAAAAGCATCACATAAGCTCAATATAATTCCAAGTACAATCTGTGTGTATGAAGGAGAAATGTGGATGCTCTTAAGAAGAAGCATCTGCTTTATAAATATGAGCTATGAAAGGCTTCCAAATGTCCCCTCTGTTCGTCAAATGTGAATGTGATCTCCTCCTAGAAAGCCATCTGGAGTAGGCATGCTACAGTCACTGCCTCGCTCGGTGCCATTGTCCTATCTGTGTCTCAGAGTGACTTGTCTTGCTACTGCACACTCAATATTAGTGTTTGTTTCATGGGTTTGTTTAAATGTCAAGTTTGTTGTCAAGCTTTGACACATCATACAAATATTTTGTCTCTAATGAGCTGTTTTTTGGGGTTGTTTTTTTTTTCTCTGCCTTCCCCATAGAAATATTGTGAAAGGAATGAGGAGTCTACGAGAAATACTACGGACTGTGGAAACAAAAGCTACTCAGACCTTCAAAATGGTAAGGGGAATGAATGGGAGATGGGAAAATGGGGTAATCTGCTATGTAGAAATTTTCTCTGTTTATTAACCTCAAAGATCTGCCCAGTTGAACCTTCAGACCTGGGCATGTGGGCTACTTTTGGGGATTTTTCAGTGCATTTTCTAGCCCTGGTAGAAACAGATGTATTTAGTTTGATAGTGCTGTGCTTAAGTGATATAGTGTCTTGTTTTCTTTCTCACTTTTCAATGTGTGCATGCACACCTTTTTGCATTTGTATGTAAAAACATTAAGTACTTCTGGCTCTTGCAAGAAGCAGTGCTTTTTTAGACTCAAGTATTTCAGCATTGTTCCTGTAAAACTCCCTTCGGTACAGTACAGAGGTTTTTTTGGTTTTTTTTTTTGTTGGTATTCTGCATCCTGTTATACTGAGTGCTTTTGGTAAAGAAATAATGGAGAAAGTTATTCATGTTCCTGTTTAACTACTTAAACCTTTAGCTGATTCTTCCCTGTCTCCCCTTTAAGAGATCTTGTCCTGAAGTTACTCAGGAAGCTACAAGGTCAACAGCATGGAGAGTAGCATTCTTGAGAACATGCCTGAAAACTTTGCAATCCTGAAAGCATTGATGTTGATACAACTGAACTTGTTTTCTGCTTGGTTCAGCTGTGTTTTGTGTAATTCCAGGGAAGTTCAGCGAGGGGGGTGGGCATGGATTTGCATAGCACTTTGGAGGTGGAGGGTGAGAGGTTCCAGCAGCTGGACTGACTGTGTGTCTAGCTCATGTGCGAAAGCACACCTAAAGGAAAGTGTGAGCAGAAAGGGTATCCTGGGTGCTTTTTGCCTAGGTTCCTCACATCTGTTTTTTGCAACTTCTGTTCTGGAAATGAATCTTCTTATTGCCTTGGGATCACCTTATATGCCTAATTCAGAATACAGATGCATGTGGAAGTTTGTGCAGGAAGTTAGAAAAGGTGACTTAAATAATTGTCACACTCAAATGTTTGCATCCTTTTCCAGATTGAGATCAGGGTTCAGGGGATTTTTCTTGCTTGCCTGTTTTATTATTTTTCTGAGATAAGTCTAACCATCTGCTACTCCTGTACCATGGCAGAAAATGCTCCTGTCCCTGTGCAACTGGGGAGAGCTCTACAGCACTCCTGGGGGATTTATCCCTAAGGGAAGTCTGGAGGTGTTCATCTAGTAGTTTTTACTGGGATTTCTATTTCACAGGGAGTCGCATTTTCTTTTTCTTACTTAGTTAGCTGTCAAGAGGGTAAAGGGAGGAATGTGCTTAATTAAACAAGTTTTTCAAGCACGAAAGTGAAACGCATGATTTTTTTCCTGATTTGTGGGATCACAGTGTTCTTCAAGCATAATGATGCTTTTTCTAGCCAAAGGCAGTAATAACATAAATCAGAGTCTTGGCCTGTTCTGGTTTGTTTGGTCTTACTCAAAACAAGAGTGAAGCTAATTTACACAGCTACTGTACTGTATGCTAAAATCAAAGACACTAACAGTATTTGGTGCTTGCCTTTTGAAAGGCTTATCACAAACTGTACTCCTACTTCTCTGTGAACCAGTAGAGATCTTTCTATTGCTGGCATATTATTTGTCCCTCCCCCCCCCAAGACTGTAGGAAGAAATATTGGAGAGTTGGTCCCTCAGGGTAAAACTGACTAAATAATTACACACCGAGACAATAAAATGATACTAGCTAATGTCGCAGGGCCCTAGGCCATTTTGCTCATGGTTACTTGCTATAAAAAGCATAGAAAGGCTTAGTTAGAAACACAAGGCTTTGTGTAACTTGTCAGTAGGAGTGCATGGAAGGTCTTGAGGTTTCCAGGGAGTTGTATATGACAATATTTCTTTGAGGCATCATCACATTCAGATCACTTTGCCATTTGCTGGGTACTTCTATGAAACCTTCCTTTCTGGTGTTTAAGGAACAGTATATGCTACTATGGTTGCATTTTAGACTAATTTAGTGAATTCATGTGTGGTGAAGTGGATGAAAATAAAGAACCTAAAGAAAATAAAGAAAATAAAGGATGGTGAGGGGTCTGGAGAACAAGCCTTATGAGGAGCAGCTAAGGGAACTGGGGTTGTTTAGCCTGGAGAAGAGAAGGCTGAGGGGAGACCTCATCACCACCTACAACTACCCTAAAGGGTCTTTTCTCCCAGGTGATGGAGGATAGAACAAGGGGAAACGGCACCAAGCTGTGCCAAGGGAGGTTCAGGTTAGAGATAAGGAGGAAGTTCTTTACTGAGAGAGTTGTCAGAAGCTGGAACAGGCTGCCCAGGGAGGTGGTGGAGTCACCATCCCTGGATGTATTTAAAAAGCGGGTAGATGAGGTACTTAAGGATATGGTTTAGTGGGTAGACAGGAACGGTTGGACATGATGATCTCGGAGGTCTTTTTCCAACCGAGCAATTCTGTGATTCTGTGAACCTGGTGTCAAAAGAAATTATTTTTCTGAATCTGATAACAGGAACTTCAACCTCAGTATGATTTATTTGGTCCTATAGACGTCATACCTCAAGTGTAGTAATGCTTCAGGTTTATCAATCATACCTGTCCAGGTATTTAAAAGGAAATTACTCTTGATGGCCTCATAACATATCTCAAAGTGTAAATTGCATATAAAATACACATGTAATAGTCAGAAGTTTCAAAATAGTATTTAGAAGTATTAGGACAGAAGAGCTGAAGTTTCAGCCTGCCTCTGTTCTGTGGAATATTTACTGTACAACTTAGAGTGCTGTGCTACTTAGACTTCACAGAAGATACCACCCATTTTTATGTCTTTGTGCTTGTTTGCATGCTCATCTATTTGCAGTGCAGAAAAATAGAGATTTGTTGGGTGGGGGACAAGGACAAATGCCACAGATAACTTGACTTTACAAAACTGACTTGCCCTCTTTTGGGCCCAGCTTGCCAACTTCATATATGAACCACCAAAAAAGTATTTAATGATCCCTGGCCACTTGATGGTCAAAATAGTCTATGTGATGTTGCTGACTCAATATAAAGTTTCTAACCCTCTTCTTTTCTTCCTTCGCTACTGCATCAAAAAGAGAGAAGCAGTACCGAGATGAAGCTATAAAAGGCTGCAGGAAGAGTGATATTAACAGATAAAGGGCTGATCTTTTAAACCTAATACAAAAGTGGCCTTTGGGCTGAGACTTGCATAGAAAATTCTGAGACAGAGAATGCAGTAGAGTGCCATCATACTCTATTATAATGTTTGTGAGATTGTCTCAGTGATCTGTGTGGCAGTCAATTATCTTCATTCACCCAAGTGTCCCTTACTGTCAGGCTTTTTTGATACTTTTTTCCTACAGCATTGCAACAATACCATGTAAATGCATAAGGCTGGCCTTTCAGAGGAGGGAGGAAGCTGCCACTGCTGTAGACTTTTTAGCAGCTTGTGTTGGATTGATTCTGGCTAAATGCCAGGTGCCCACCAAAGCTGCTCAGTCACTCCATCCCCTCCTCAGCTTTTTTTCTCGGAGAGGAAAAAATATAACAAAAGGCTTATGGATTGAGATAAGGACAGGGAGAGATTATTCACCAATTACAGTCATGGGCAGAACAGGCTTGACTTGGGGGAAAACTAATTATTTTATTACCAACCAACCAAATCAGAGTAGGATAATGAGAGAAAACCAAATATTTAAACACCTTCCCCACAGGGTCACACCTCCTTCAGGTGCATCCACCTGCTCCAGTGTGGAGTCTTCCATGGACTGCAGGTGGATATCTGCTCCACTGTTAATCTCCATGGGCTCCAGTGGGACAGCCTATTTCACCATGGTCTTTACCACTCTGGTCAGCACCTAGAGCACCTCTTCCCCCTCCTCCTTCATTGACCTTGGTGTCTGCAGAGTTGTTTCTCTCACATCTCACTCCTGTCTCCAGCTGAAGTTTTTGTGCAGCTGTTTTCCCACTTCTTAAATATGGTATCACAGAGGTACAACCACCATCGCTGATTGGCTCAGCCCTGGCCAACAGTGGGTCTGTCTTGGAGCTGGCTGGCATTGGCTTTATCAGATACAGGGAAAACTTCTAGCACCTTCTTACAGAAGCCATCCTTGTCGCCCCCCCAGCTGCCAAAACCTTGCTGTGCAAACCCAGTACACAGTTGTTTTAGCTACTCTGGCTTTCTGAAAAGTGATACGGTCATGGTGGTACACTTCCTTCCCAAGGTGGAACATGGGGAGGAATGAATCTCTTGTGTTGGAGAAGGCTTCACTGATGTCTTTTTCTGTACTGTTCACTGCTCTCTAGACTGCAGCCAAACAGCTAGCCCAAGTACTTCTCCATTCCCTCAGTGAAGACTGTTACTGGAGCCCTTTATCTGATCCGCTTCCTGAGTTCATGAACAAGGAAGATCAGTCTTATGTTAGCAATCATCTTTGTCAGAGGCCTGAGCTGTACACAGAAGACAAGTAAGTGCTCTCTTTAATTTCAGTTTATTGGCAGGAGGAAGGAGAGTGTTTTAACACTTTTTGGTACTGCTAATTATGTTACTGATTCATGTAGTAGTTTTGTGTGTCCCTGCTTTTAACTCTCCAACAAAAAGCCTGCTGGAAAAATAAAGCATTAAACCTTGAGTCTTTGGTTAATTTTTTTTTCCAGGAAGGAAGAAAATCCAGCCAAATAGCTGTCTTTGCTATGAAATGGAAATAATCTATTTATGGTTCAGTGTAGCTAATCTAGGTTATATTGCAGAGCTTTTAATTGTGAGAACCTGCAAAAGAAGGTATTGCCTAGCAAGTGAATTATGCATGAGATGTTTCAAGTTACTTCTCTTGTGAAATGAGAAAAAGGCTGACAGAATAATTCTTGACCTTCCTCAGAAAAATATGTTCTGTCTTTCAGTGTGTACTGCCCTCAAGACAACGTGGAAGAGGCTCTTCTTCTCCTCTTAATTGGTGAATCCATGGTAAGCCGAAAATGAGTTTGTAATCCTAATAGCATAAAGGAATATCTAGCGTTTTCATGTCAAGCCTTCTGGTTGGTTTTGTTTTCAGAATCTTCCCTAGATAAACAGAAGCAAGAATTTGGCTGCTGAACAGGAAATGCTATTTATTCCTTTGTTAGTGACACCACTTTTATTAAGTAGAACGTCAATGAAGGGTTTTGAGAATTGTCAAGAAGAAGTGACTGCATTCACCGTAGCTGTGTGCAGGTTCTGACATCCAGATACATTGTCAGTACTGATTCAAAACATCTGTGTGGATTTATGGATCAAGAATGAGAGGAAGGGAGCCTTGCCTAAAGCCAGGCATGGTGGTGGTACCCGCTGTTTGGCATTTACAGGATACAATATCCTGCTTATATTCCTTAGTCTGCAGGAATAATAATTTAGGTGTGTCAGTCCTGAGTGATCTTTGCCATTTCTGATGTTGATGATACAGAAAGTTTTGTCATGTGCAGAAACATTTGTAATGAACTACAGCAAAATAATTTGATTTCTTCTATTTATAATGTCAATTGCTTTAAAAAAATCCCTTCAAGAGGAAGTGAAAAAGGTGGAGAAAAACAACTGCATGGAAAACTGTATGGTAACCTTTGAACATGTTCATGTTATGAGAAGACAAAAACATAAAGAAAACGTGTAAGGGAAGTTACTTTGCTTTATATACTGGATGGACACTTGTAGCTCAAAATGAGATTTGAGAACCTTGGAGCATCAATGACCCTCTTAAAAACTTTTAAACAGCTTCCAGACAAGTTGAAAAGAGATACTATAGAAACTTGTTTTGTTTTTTGTTTCCTTCAGTTTCTTCTGGCCCAAGCCCTTCACCTTTCCTGTAAACTTCTTCTGAACATGGCAGTGTAATGTTGTTTGCTTTTAAAATTAGGGGACAAAAATTGAGGAGGCTGAACCACCCCAAAGTATTAAATTGGCTTAAAAATAACATACATATGAATGTTACTATACTTCATGCTTTTAAGTGCTTTCTAGATGAAGCCTCTGCAGTACATCTGCTTTGATTTCAAGGGCTTTTCGGCTGTTAGAAGGACTTCTCAGAATTGGAAGTTGACTCCCGGAGTGAGGGCTTGTAGAACACCCCATGCACTTCTATTAAAATCGGAAGGCCTCATGTCAGTATTGCTTGTCAGGACTGATCCAAGTGGGAGGAGGGTCAGGAGTCTGGAGCAGCAACAGTACTGCCTGCTGCAGCCTTTTCTGGGACTGGGCTTGCAGTCAGAAAAGTCTTGTGGGACCTTGAACTCCATAATCTTGTTCTGCTGAGGTGAATGAAAGTTATCCTTGTTTTATCTAATAGTGCATAAAATGGTGAATTGATTGTGTAAGTTACGGATGTAGCAGTGTGAAAATGCTATTGATAAGAACTGGACTGCTGTGCTGACTTCAAGACTAAATAAATAAGCTTATATTTGCTTAAGTGCTGTCTTCTGTATATAGAAACTTTCTGGAGGTAGATGCAAGGCATTTTGATCTGCTGCATATAAAGCACTTAAATAATCAAAGATCCTGTAGTAGAGCACTGCAGGAACCATAACTGTCTTTCTGGTTTTTGGGAAAATGGGATGTCTGAGCTTTCCTTTTGCATTAGCAATAGGCTTGCCACGAGTTTATTGTTTTAACAAAAATACAGGATGAGTTTATAGAAATACAGCTGTGTACAGAAATACACTTAGGAACCACAGGAATGTGCTTCCTAAGTAAAGGAACAAGAGGGAGCAATCTGATTCTTACACATGTTTGCAATCCATAAATATTATCCTTTAGTTTTACTGTTGTGGTACTAAGAAGGGGAAATTTTGGTTAATTTGGCATGAAACATCTTTTCCATGACAGCTTTATTATAGGTTAGTGATTTTTCTCATGTACAGGTTTGTTGTTTGTTTGAAGTTTTTTGTTTTGTTGGTTTTTTTTTTAAACTTGCTGAAGCTTGTGGAAGATGAGTTAAGAAGCAGCAGATTTCCAATTGAAGTCTCCCTAATAATACAATGTTAACAACTGAATAAAATACATTTTCCTTCCTTGACAGAGTGTCAGTGGAAAGCCATGCTGTGTTTCTGTGGGCTGGTAAGCAACATAGTTGGTGTTCCTGGATTTTGGCTGGTTTAGGTGTTCTTTCAGTATTTAAGATTATGAACCCCTTAAAATGAAACAGAAGTATACAATTAGGTTGGCTTGCTGGGAGCTCTCCAGGTTCTCTGACGCTTTGATTGCTCTTTCAGAGCAAAACTCACCAGAAAGATACTGTTCCTGTCTGATTTTTGAAGACACAAAAGAGCAGCCATGCCATTGTAACTCTTTTGCAGGACCATAAAGCCAAACAGCTGTTCCACATGTCTGTTCCTGAGTTATGCCACTTCAGAATGAGCTCAAGGGGGACAAAACTGGCCGGGGGGGGAGGGACAGAAAAGTTGTCAGTGCACGGAGGGGACATAAAGCAAAGATGTACAGGGGAGGAGCATAAATCATCAGAGAACCTAAAAGTAAATATATGTTAAATTTGATGAAAAGGAGACATGGTAGCTTTTTCAAGAAGTATCTATCTGGAACACCTTTTTTCCTCCCAGAAGCCATACAGCGAGGGAGTAGATTAGTGCTAGGTAGTTTGCTGCTGAAATTCACTCTATTCCTCCATTTGCCTTGCCTTCCTAAGGTGAAGCTGATCTCTCCTTCACCAGGATCTATGCAACTCCCCAGAAGGTGTTATGGGGGTTACAAGAACTGTTCCTGTAAGGGGGAAAGGAAGAAAAGAAATCACCTTTAAGGTGGTGTGAGCCAGATCCTATATTCCAGCACACATCTGTCTCTTTCTGGTGCTTGTGATGCTGCTGCCCTAGCTTTTCTTCTTATCCCTTTATCTTGCATTGGAAGGGAGCTGTTTTGTATCTTCTGGTCGGATGACCTGAGAGTATCTTCTAAAGGGGTAATTAAGGGTTCCTTCAGTATTTCACTCACTCTGCCTCTGAGCCTAAGTATGTAAAAGTTATTCAGATGGCTGGATAATGTGGTAGCCACTTTCATAGCTTTGAAGATGCTTCTGTGGGTATATTAACACTTACAGTGAAACCTTGGGGCCTTTTTCCTCATGGCACTCTCCTGCGTTGCCTCCTGTATTTGTTCTGTCCCATTGAGAATGGGAACCTATTTCCATGAGCTAAGGCATCTCAGTAAACAATGAAAAGCATCCCGGTTTTTGAGTTTGGCAAGTGGTCCAGTGCCAGCTGTTATTTAGTCGTGGTGGTTGGCTGTAGAGTTCTTATGAAGGAATCTAGTGAAACAAATCAGGCAGCCTAAAGATTACCACAGTCAGGGCTGTCTTCGGGGAGCTTCGTGGCCTACTGGGTAAATTCTCATTCCTTATGCACAGCCTACGTTATGTTATGGATGGGCTGTGATTGTGAGAGGAGGAATACACTGTCCTTCAGACCAAGGAGAAGGCCAGCTGGTGACAGCCTTTACAAGCTGAGGCTGTAATAAAATGATGTGTTCCTATCACATGTTGAAAGAAATGAATTGGCCTGTTTTTAAACTACTAGTCCCCATTCTTACTGCATTTAACCCATCAAAACCAGTGGCATGATATGGTAGAACTGAGGGTGCATTGAGACTTGCTGCAGTGTGATTTTTCTGCATTGCGCTACCAGAGGGAACAGCACTGATTCCACCATCAGGGACTCCAGTGCTTTGTGTCTGCAGGGTGTAGGCAGGGGAGGTTTGGCAGGACTAACCCTTCGCTGCAGTTTTGTTTATTTTAATAATCCTTCTCAAGAGTATTCTGAGTTGACTGCTCTGCCCCTTGAAGTTAGCCAGAAGTTTCTCAGAGCCAGAAATGGAGCACTTTCTGTTACTTTTTTTTAACCTCAAAAATAAACACAGAAAGTTCTTTCTTTGCACCTAGAAACCTTCTCTTCTTGAATCTGAGGTCAGACGTACAGTCTAAAATCCCTTTATTCAGCCCTGGCAATGCTGCCTCTTACAACTGGAGATTCTGGCTGATGTAGTCTACCAAACATACCAGGTAACATAGATTATTTTTTTTGGCTCTATGTTCACTCATACTGGAAATGAAGCTCCTTGTATCCAAAACTAATAAATTCTGTGCCTGTGTAACAAAGATTAGAAATGTCATCCTCATTTTACCTCTGATTTGAATCCCTAAAGGCGATTTGACCTTGGAGAGCCTGAGAGCACAGAACAGATGGTGAGGGGGGAAGTGAGATACTGGGACTTGTCCTGTTCTTTTTACTGGTGAGAGCAAACTCATGGCTATGAGCATTCCTTTAACAGAGTAAGATTAAATCTATATATTTTTAAGCACAGAAATAATTAAAACTCTACAGTTCCTAGCTTTATAAAATAATGCTGTCCAACAAATGAGTCTGTGAAGGAGAAAAATCTCTTGTTGCTTTTGTAGGATTTTTTGGTTTTTTTTAATGATAACAAGCCCAGGCATGATATAACAGCTGGATGACCATCATGAGTATTTTCCTGAGGGCTGTGGGACTATGGCAGCTGAAAGAGACAACTGGGGACAGGATTGCCTGTTGGTTTCTGCCGAATCACGACCATGCACTTAGAATACCAAGCCTGACTGTCTCTTTAACTGGTCTGTGAGGCAAAGCTTTGTGTTGGGACCTGCAAGGGTGGATCAGAGCATGTTTCTAGCGGGGAAATATGCCACCACTGTTAATTGCCTCTTGAATAACTATATCTAATGTGAGTTGCTGGAGACAGGACAGAGAGCTCTTTTCCTTCTGCTTTGCAGTAGGAAGTCTTGTTTCCGAACTTGCAAGGAGGATACAAATTGTCAGAAGATAATTTTCTAAATGCACATTATGGACAGCAAATATATGGCTTCATTACCCAAGACAGTATTCATAAACAAACTTCATTACTTTCTTCCTTTCTCTCCCTTTTGTGTAGGGTTGTTGAGCTGTTTGGCTGGGGGAGGAATACGTCTGTCT